TTGTTTCTGATTTTCTTTCAAAAATACTCTCAGAACCCAAATTTTCACTCATTTCTTCAAAATTGTTTTCAATTAAATCTCTAACCAATTTTTACCGTTATTATATTATTTTTTTATTAAATCAAATTAAAATTATATAAATAATAATTATATTTATATAAAAAATAATAATAATTAATAAAAATAAAAATAATGAAATGTTGGGTGTTAAAATAATAATATATCATGCATATACAATAAATCCAAAACAAACACAACTGTCACACACTTTCTCCAACCCATTAATTCTTTACCCCAAAAGAAAAATTACACTTACCCAATATAATATATAATATAATAATAACAATAATATGAACAAAACCCCATGAAATAAAATATTAATAATAATTGAATTCATGGAAGCTTATTTTATAAGGAGTTGGTTTAACCTAATTCATCATTTTCAATAAAGAAATCATAACATAAAGTTTAATTATGAATAACCCTAATAGTAAAAATAAAAAGGGTTAATTACAATAATTACAATATTTTAAAACCTAATTACTTAATTAAAAATTATGTAATGTGTAATTTAGAGTTTACCAGGTTGACCAAAAAGCGTCCAAAGCACTAAGACTTTCCTGTGCTGATCAATTATTTAATGAGACGTGTCACCTTCCAAAATCTGCTCTTTAAAACTGACTGATTAACTGCTCCTCTTGTCATTATTATTTTTAATTAATTATTAATCTTCATTAATGTGTTCCACATGTACGATTGATTTTATAATATAAGGTCTTATATACCATAGTAATTTAATAATACAATATGGTATTTATATCGGCCTACGAGGGTGTGGTCCAAATTTGTCAAAGTTGATGGCCATGTACCAGTTTCAGCCTCCATGTGAAGACTACTCAAATCTATCTTCAACATATATATATATATATATGTTTTTATGACTTCACATATTATATCATATAATAAGTATTGTAAGATACTAATGTCATGAATATTTAAATTCCATTTAAATCACATAAATTTGTTCTATTTTAAGCATGTTATTAATCGACTGTCATATATTTTTTAACACTTTAATAATAACTAAATTAAATTTTATTATGATAGAATTATTATAATTTCGATAAAATAAATATTATATTATCTAATAATTTTGTATCAATTTATTACTATTAATTTATACTGTATTTATAATTAAAATTCAACAATAAAAAATAGAAATATTGAACTTAATTTAATGCGAGCTTATAAAATTTTACACATAATTTTTTCTTTTCCCATTTTTAGATCATAATTACTAAAATGTAAATTTTAAATATTTATTTTAAAAAAATAAGAGCTTTTTAATTAATTAATTAAAGATTACATTTTATTAATTATAAGAAAGTATGATTACAAGAATTTAAAAATAAATTGACAGCACCCTTTTCTGGAGGTATGATTATATTTTTGTTATTATTTATTATTATATTAATTATTATTATTATTATTGATTTTAATTTATTATAGTAATTTATAACAAATTAGAATTAAAAATAATAATAATGAATCCGAATAATTAAAGATAATTATCATAAAATATTTATAGAAAAACCATTCTCTGGTTACAATGAAGGGAAGAAAGAAGAGAGGGGGATGAACAGTAAAAAGTAAGAAGGCTGCAAGTGTCCAGAATAACTTCAATAAGTTCACAGAACTTTCTCTTTTGCTAATTTTTAGAGATAAAAGAGTCCATGGCTATTTTTCAACTGCATGTGTTTGATGAATTTTCTTGACCTTCTCTCACCTAACCATTTTTTTCTTCTTTTAAAACTCTTCAAATCTTGATTAGTCAAAAAGACACACCCCATTAGCAATTTGCTGATTTCCCATCAAAACGAATTCTTTTTGTGTTTAAAATTCAGCAACTATCATTCACTTACGAAATT